ACAGCTACGGGGACCACAGAACTGGGACTCGCTCCTCTGGGGAACGCGCAACTCTCTAGGGGGCCCATTTCCGACGAACAACGCCCTGTGTGACCCCAGGGCCGCCCTTCCTTGCTACCCTGCCCTCCCACCTGAACACCGCCCAGCCCTGCCACCTGACCCACGCCTCTCCCTGGCAGTTACCATAGCAACCCCAGCACAGCTCTGAGAGCTGCCGCAGCTGGAGAAGGAAGTCCCTGGAGAAGACCAGCAGGCATTGCCAATCTTTCCAGGCATCACGGGGCCGCAGGAGACCGTGGAAGAACAGTGAAGGCCAACACAGGCTGAGTATCTCTTCCCCGAGATGCTGGGGACCAGAAGTGTTTCTAGGCTCCGCTCGCTTTGGATTTCCATTCGTTTGAACTTTGGAATATTTGCATATTCATAAGGAGACATCACAGAGCTGGGACCCCAAGTCTAAACATGATAGAAATTCATTTACAGCTTGTCTCCAAGCCCGAAGGCAGCTGTATTTTTAGGGCACCCCCATTTTGACCACGGCCCTGCACATGAGGTCAAGTGTCACATTTTCCACTTGTGATGTTGTCTGAGCACATAAAACATTTTGGGTTTGGGAACATTTTAGATTGTCAGGCGAGGGATGCTCACTGTATCATAATTACGGTGAAAGCAGTGTCAAAATTTACTGTGGCTACTTAGGATTTCCCCACCCATGATCTCAGTTCCTTGCCAGCATCTTCTACATCTCCCCCAGCCATTAGACCTCCGCCATGTGGCAAGCAGTCTGAGTCCTTAGAGGCTATGATGAGCCTGGAGGACCCCAGAGGTTCACACAGGACTATGGCAGAGCCAAAGAGAAGAATTACAAATTGCAATTAGTGAAGGAAAGGGACCAGTGTAGCCTACCTGGATGAGATAGTGATTAAACCTACCTAGAAAGTAGGGCAAGGCTGGGCCTCTCAAAGAGGTGAGATTTCAACTGAAAGGCTGCAGGGTTAGAATGAGTCACTTATGCAAGAGCAGGGAAAGTCCCCCCAGGCTGTAAGAACAGCATATGCAAAGGCCCTGAGGCAGGAAAGACTTGTGTCTGTTCCAGGAAAGGAAAAGGGACCTTGTGGCTGAAAAATGAGTGACAAGGTGTGAGGTAATGGAAAGATGCTGGTTGCGTCATGTATTGCTGTGGTCTTGGGAAGTGTATTTGTCAGTTTCTGGGGAAACAGGAACCTTTCTAGGTACCTCAAAAGGAGTTTAGTACCAGAAAGTGGCTGCAAAGAAGTCAGAAGAGTACAGGCATGGTGGCACAGGCCTGCCATCCCAGCTCTCAGGGAGGCTGAGGCAGGAGGACTGCAAGTTTGAGCCCAGCCTGGGCAACTTAGTGACTTAGTGAGGCTCTGTCTCAAACTAAGAAAATAAGAAATGTCAGGGATGTAGCTCAGTGCAAAGGTCCTGCGTTCAATCCCCAGTACCACCACCAAACAAGCAAAGCACCCCAGAAGAACAAAAGGGAAATGGGTTGTGCCATACAAGCGAGCAAATTCCTTTTTTTTTTTTTTTTTTTTTTTTTTTTTTGGTACTAGGAATCAAACTCAGGACCTTGAGTTGCCAGTCAGGCACTTGTGCCGCTGAGCTGTAGCTGGCCCCCAGCAGGCAGGTTGAGGTAGAACTTTTTCTTTAAAAAAATTAAGTGCTTTTCAAAAAATTGTTTCTAGGAGGAAAATATCTGAAACCCTTCCACAAACCAGGTTTAGAAAAAAGTCACAAAATGAATGAAATAATACAAACTTGATGTGTTTTTTTTTTTTTTTTGTACCGGGAATCGAACTCAGGATCTTGCACTCGCCAAGCAGGCACTTGTCTGCGGAGGTATATCCCCAGCCCTGAAATAATAAATAATTGCTAAAATCTCTGAATAAAGATCCCTAGAAATCATTAAGAAAGGGCTAGAACAATAAGCCCAGGCTGTTGTAACCTGTCCCCGTGAAGGAAACGTGGATGACCCCCCGCCAGCACAGGAGAAGTGTGAGTGTCTGGCGCCAAGGAGTTGAGAAGAGGTGCTTGGTCTGCACCAGCTGAACACAGGGACCCTGTCTCACCCCATCCCAGGGTCCAAACCTAATCCTGTCATTACCAGTGATGACAACCCTTGGGTAACCTATAAACTGCAAAGCTGTAAACTGCAAACACCACACTCTGGTCACCCCATTCCCAGCCATTGACCCCTGTGTTACCCCATAACCTCTCCCACTGACCCTCGAACTACTGAAGATTTCCTCTTCTTTCCGAGGCTCCAGCAATTTTCTTCTACCTGGCACCCTGGGCCCACCTGAGTCTGCTGCCTACAGCGATCCTCCTGCCTCAGCCTCCCAAGTGCTGGGATTGCAGGCATGTGCCACCACCCTTGGCTTCCATGTGCTGATATTTTTATGATGGACACCTCAAGACCGCAGTTTAGCCCCTTCCCTGAATTCTAGGCTCCTGTTTCTAACAGTGTTCCCACCTGGATGATAGCTGGGCTGGGAAGAGTGGACTGGTCATGAAATCGCAGAGGTTGATATTAATTGAGCACTCAGTATGTGCCAAGCCCTTTGGTGCAGTGTCTTTACTCCCTGCGGGGCTCAAGAAATCTTTTCTTATACTAAGGGGGAAACTGAGGCCCAAAGAGGGCATGTAAGTTGCCCAAGGGCCCACCGCAGGTCTTCTGCAGGGTTGGTCTCTTTGTTTATCTCATGTGTCTGTTCAGAGACCTTTCTTTTCTTGTTAAGAAATGCAGCAACTGCCAGGAAGATGATGGTTTCAATTACTGCCTTACGCAACAGCTGGTGGCACGGGACCCAAATGTCCTCCAGCCTCTGGGAAAGGGGCGAGAGGCACTGGGGCTTTCTTTCTCAATCCCTTTCCTAAAGCCTGGGCCTTGGCTCATGGCTGCCTGGGGACTCTTCCTTGCTGGAGGGCATCTGGGTCACAGAGCTGTGAGACTCGGATTCGCTTACTTTGAAATCAAAGGAGATCCTAGGCTTCTCTCTGCCCTTCTAGTGTGTACGTGGGGGAGGGGGATTTTCCAAGACGACAGGGCACAGCAAGACAACGGAATCCTGACCCCAGGCAGCCTCCCTGTGCACGGAACCAGCCAGGTACCACGCAGGTTTCAAACTCTGGTGTCACTCTTGGACAGGCCATCACTTTAGACCCTCAGAGTCTCAGCCCCCCTACCCACGCCAGGGCCTGCTGCCCACACCCCAGTGGTCAGGTCTCCCTGAATTCCAGCACCCAGTGGCCTGCAGTGCCTGTGGTTAGTACCACCTAGGGCAAGTTGTCCAGGATCACAGAGTGATAATCACACCCTGACTGAGAATTCAAAGCTAGGCCTGCATATATTCAAATAATATAGTCTTCCTCCTGTCTTTTCTCAAACTGGTCTCAATGTCACAACAATCCCCCTGCCTCAGCCTCCCAACTGCTGGGATTTACAGTTGTGCACCATCACACCTGGCTGTGTTCAGATTAGTCTCGAGTAGGGTCAAAAGATCAGCCACTCATCATCAGTCACCACATTCCCCACTCACCTCGCCCAGGCAGCCCAGGCGGCCCTTGGTTTTGTTTTTCCTTGTATATAAGTCACCGGCCAGGGTGTGAGCACAGGATCTATCAAGGTTGAAGACTGAATCTGCAACTTGACATTGGCCCAAAAGCTTCTGACTCCTAAAATCCTGCCTCTTTATCTTTGTAAGAGCTGATGTAGCTGGAAGACTCTTGGAAACCAGTTTCGGGCAAGAAAATTAGGTTAGAGCTGAACCTCAGTGAGGTGTGTGTCACAGCCAAGCCTGTCATCTGAGGCTTGCACTTTCTTTTTCGGTTTTTCAGTTTTTCTCTGGTACCGGGAACCGAACTCATGACCTTGCACTTGCCAGGCAGGCGCTTTTGCCACTGAGCTAAATCCCCAGCCCTTGCACTTTCTTTTTCATTTTTCATTTGAAATAAGGGTGTTTATGCAAATTTGTCACAAAGGTTTCAAAGTATCGACTTGCCCTGGAGCCAAGCTCTGCTTTCTTAATTAGATAGGGAGAAACCATTAATGCTCATGACCAATGTTCCTCTCCAAATTGTATGTTTTACAAGAGGGGCTCTTGAAAACATATAATTCTGATGTTGGGAAATCATCACATCAATGGAGTTTTTCCGATCATGGGAGAGTTTGCTGGGAACTGGGGGCTGTTCCAGGCCAGGACACTCTGGGGGTCTGACACCAGCTGGACCCTGTCTGGATGTCTCCGAGAAGGAGGCACAGGCATCTGTGGGTCAGATTATCAGCAATGCATTCTAATGGGGGTGGAACACAAAGAAACAAGACGATCAGATTAGGAGACCTGGGTCACACTGCCTCAGTGTGCGGGGCAGCTTGAGGCAAACCTTTATACCGCAGTTCCTCATCTATACCATGAGAGCACTGGGCTCCCTTTTTCTCTTGTTTTTTTTTTTTTTTTTGGTCTTTTTGAGACAGGGTCTCGCTGTGCAGTTCAAGCTGGACTTGAACTCACTTTGTAGCTCAGGTTGGCCTCAAACTCACAGCGATTGTCCTGCCTCATCCTCCTAAGTGCTGGGATTATAGGCGCCACCATACTTGGCTTTTTCTTTCTAGATAGGGTATGGCTATGTAGTCCAGGATGACCTTGAACTCACTATGTAGCCCAGGTTATCCTCGAACTTGCAGCAATCCTCTCACCTCAGCCTCCTGAGTGCTGGAATTATAAGCATGCGCCATATGCCTAGTTTAGATTTCTCAAGTGACTTTGGGCTGCTGAGAAGGCTCCCTTCAGGCTGCCCTTTTCCCATGTGACTTGGGGATAGTTGAGTCCTAAGATTCCACATTTCTGAAATTTTCTGATTGTCACCCAACAGTTGCCAATCTTGTCCTTCCAGAAGTTAGTAGACAATGCCCTTGATTGAGCTTGGCTGTGTCCAGAGCTAGAATACAGACACATTAGGGAGATTTTATCTTCTTCTTTTAGAACTGGTGACATTTTATTCTTTCTATCCACTATTAATGCACTGATCAGTGGGACTGAATGTGGGACACAGAGCAAAGACCAGATCATGCCTGCCTTGCCTTGAGAAGAGCGGGTGCCCCAGCCACCCTGGAGGCAGTCTGCCAGGCACAGCCTCTGTTCCTCCGCACACAGGGTAGGGGGCCCTGAGGCCAGGGCTGGCCAGAGGTTCCAGGCAGGGGACAGGCTAGGGATGTGGCTGTTGGCTTTTTCCAGGCAGTGTCCTCTCCAGCAGCCCTGAGGAGGGGCTTGGACGCATGGGACAAGACGTGCTCCCTCCACAGGCTTTGTGGCCCCCGCCACCAGAAGTTTTGCTTACTGCGAGCTCCCTGTTCACAGCTCCCTTGGGCTTCCTGAGGCTGCTCTGGCTGAGCGATGGCAGCCGTCTCTGTCCACACTCCAGGCTCCTAGGAAGCAAACATGTTTTTGTTTGGACACTAGACCAGAACATTGGCTAATTCATTTCCCATCCCAAGTCTGTACAGCCCCAGGTCTGCAGCCAGAACCAGCTTGCAGGGTGACCTCTGTTCAGGCCACCAGGCTCAGCTCGGTGAGTTTATTCTCAACATTTCACTAAGGGAACTTCTACCCTAAACTCATTCCTTAAGAGTAGGAGAATAAACTGTGTGGTGGTGCACAGAGAGAGACTGAGTTAGGAGGATCAAGAGAGTTTGAGCCTGGAGGCTGAGGATTTAGCTCAGTGGCACAGCGTCTGCCCTGCAAGCATGAGGTTGTGAGTTTGATTCCCGGTACTGGAAAAAAAAAAAAGGAGTTTGAGCCTGGTCTGGGCCACTCAGTGATTAGTGAGAATCTGTCTCAAAAAAGGGCAGGGGTCCTGGGGGTATAGTTCAGCAGCACAGCACCTACCTGGCAAGAGTGAGGTTCTGAGTTCAATTCCCAGTACAAAAAAGAAAAAGATATTTCTAAAAAAGGGCAGGGGTGAACATGGTGGTGCACGTCTGTGATCCCAGCACTGGGGAAGCTGAAGCAGGATGGACACTGTGAGTTCGAGGCCAGCCTGGCTACATGGTGAGTTTTTATTTTTTACTTTTTTTTTCATTTTTTGCTACATGGTGAGTTTAAGGCCAGCCTGAACTATACAGTGAGTCCCTGCCTCAAAAAAAGGGGTAGGGGTGGAGGGGCTGGGGATGTAACTCAGTGCAAAGGCCCTGGGCTCAAGTCCCAGTACCAGGAAAAAAAAAAAAAAAAAGAATAGGGGAATAATTCCATGTGGAAGTTCTGACACACAAGCAGAAAGGGAGATCAAGGAGAGCTCTAAACCTTTGGGTTCAACACAAACAAATATAGACTGAAAACTATCATCACAACACCAAATTTATAAAGCTGAAAATGTAAAACTAAAGAAACGATATGCCATCATTTGAGCCTTGAAGACTTAATCCAAGCCAGCAATAGTATTTAGGCAAAAAAAAAAATAGAGCAAATCTAACCACTGTGAGGTTTTGTTAGTTGGGATGATGGTAAAGCTACTGATTAATTTTAGATGCTGTTTCATAAATTTTGCATATGGAAATTTTTAGAGAAAGTACAAAAAGAGTAGAAAAAGCAGGATATCCATTTCCAAACCAGTAGGGACAATAATGAAATAAGAAAAAGTTGCCTCCAACCACTGCAATATCAAAAGCTAAAGAAGGGCTGGGCATGGTCCTGTCCTCCTGAAATCCCAGCACTTGGGAAGGTGAGGTAGGAGAAACACTATGAGCTCTAGGCCAACCTGAACTACACAGTGAGACCCTGTCTCAAACAAACAAACAAACAAACCCCAAAACCAGTAAAGAAAGGAGAGATTCCTTATTTTTTGGTTTGTTTTCTGTGTTTTGGGGTTTTTTTGAGACAAGCTTCTGCTATGCAGTTTAGGCTGGCCTTGGACTCATAGTAATCCTCCTGCCTCAGCCTCCCTAGTGCTGAGATTACAGGTGTGTGCCACCACACCAGGCTTGGTTTCTGTATTTTAAGAGAAAATCCATTTTCTTGCTTTTTCCAGCTTGGGAGGTCCTGCAATCTGTGGGCCATGGCTGCCCACCTCCTTCAAGGGCAGCAGGGGTCAGCCAGGCCACTGTCATATGGCACTGTGCTGAGCCTGGCATTTCTGTTGTCTGGCATTTCTGCCACCCATTCCCGCTCTTCAGGACCCTGCATTCCCCAGGGGATCCTTATGTAGGGGCAAATGATTAGTAACCTGGACTCACCACATCCTCTGTTCCCTCCTTGCCGTGTGGCAGGACAAGGTCATAGTTGCCAGGGACTGGGGCATGGACATTTGGGCCTTTATTCTACCCACCTCTAGTGAGCTCATAAACACTTACTAAGACAGGAATCTGAGAGGAATAGGAAGGAACCAGGGGAGGTGGAGGGCCCCAAAGTCCAAGGAAATACTCGATCAAAAGTCAGAGCTCAGCCAGGCGTGGTGGCGCACACCTGTAATCCCAGC